GAGCGAAAGCAACTTCAGTGCTTTGTTGGTGATTTGACCTTCTCCAGACACTGTACGCACCTTTAGGTCCTTAATGTGGCTTTGGAGCTCTGCGTGTGCAGAACGAAATTTCCGAGGGTTTAGCTGATGTGCTATGTAGAGGTTTATCTAAAAAGTCTTCCATATAAAAATCTTCTGAAAAGGCGTCACCGATTTAGCACTGACGTTATTGTCGCCATTTGCTCTAAAATATCTCGTGACAGATCTCATAATTTGTCGTTCCTCGTCAAGGTTATTGTCCAGAACATAAATGGGAGAGAACAGCCTTTCCATGACGTCAAAAAAAACCTCCACTTTATCCTTAGTCCTAAAAGCTATAAGACTATGAATCCTGGACCACGAATATGTGGTAGTTGTTCTTGCCTTCCGTTTCTCAGCTGCTTTGGCACTTTCCAGAGTGGAATACTTGAGTCAAGCATCCCCGCCAGAGAGGAAACTGAGTGCATTTCTCACGTGACTAGATTCGTTGCTCTTCTAGTGTCATCAGGATGGCAAGACCTTTTTGTTTGCTTAATCGCAGCCTTTTTTTCGAAAATTTTCTGCCGGATGCCAGCAGGAAAAAAGGTCTGCCGTGTCGCTGCACTGGTAGCACTGGAAGCAGCACGCTGTAGAGTTTGGTGAACGAAACTCGTCCACTCCGATTGAGCTTTAATCCGTTCTCATCATGTATGACCGGAGCACTGGGAAACTCTTTGATAAATGACTTGTATAGTTCCCAATCAACTCTTTTCCTTAGAGAAGCTTCCTCTTCCATGAAATGCCTATTACCTGCCTCCAGAACCACAGGTAGATGGTCACTAGATATGTCATACAAGATCCTAGAAGCAATATTGAATCTGCGGTTTTTAGATATTGCACAGTCCATAACATCCGGTGCCTGAAGGTGATTGAAAGTATGGTGTGCCGGCTCTTTGGTTCTGTGAATAAGATACCCATTTCGCATCACATAGTTGTAAAGCTGAACCCTACAAGTAGAGTTAAGCCTTGAGACCCATAGTCTGTGTTTGCAGTTGTAATCCGCTGCCGCAATAAGATGGCCCGAGTAGACAAGAAGGACTTCCAAGACCTCCTCTCTACCATTCAATCTTTCAGCGAGTATTACACCATAATTCGAGAAAGCTAAACGATCTCCCGAATTGAATATGAAATTTGCTTAGTACGCAGTTGTCATTAGAGGCTGTTATCGATCTCTGGAAGATTTGTATCTACTGGTTCTATCTATTGAGCATTTTTGTGGTAAACTTAGAAGGTTTAGTTTATATTAAAGGTTACCGTATAATACAAAAAGTAATGAAAGATTTATGCTGTGTCGGTTTTGTTGCTAATAAAGGACCCACAGGAATGATCTGAATGAATATAGGCAACCAGAATGGCAATTTGCGGTTGACAGATTTTGTAGTCATACAGCTTGAACATTATTTTACACACAATCTTGATATCCTGCGATGATTTCTCATAATAAGTACGGCGAATTAAAGAGACATTTTCCGAAGAAGTGAACGAAAATTTGCGTTATTACACGCCTACAAGTAGCTTTACCAAAAAATGACTACAAATATTTCGCAGAGACTATCGTTGTTACCTTAGCGGAGATTTAAGCGTTCTATTTACTTCTGCTTATTGTTTTCTCATAAATAGAGATTCCTTTAATCTTACTCCTGTCACAGCTTGTTGAAATATAAAACTTCCCAATTTCTTTATTTTTAACTATTTCCTTACACTGTTCCAGTATCTTTGGTCATATTCTGTTTTTAAGTATGTTTAGAATTTTGTTCACTACTAAGTCTATAATTCACCAAATATGCGATATTACATTACGATCATGACTTTTCCATTTCATTTCAGAGATACTTAATATCTAATCACCTGGTGCAAGCTAACAAATTCAATTGAATAAGTTTAACAGACAGGAGATTTGGTTTGAGCTGGTACATCCAGTAGGAGAAAGGTATAGTTCTGTTCTCTTTGGCGGTTATGTCATCAATGCGATACGAAATAAGAAAGCAAATCAACTAACTGAACCATGTGCGGTGCTGAAACTCCATGCAAAAATTGCACAGTGGGCAAGCCGATCGTAAACGCAGCTGCTCTTGCACACATGAAATGATTAATAAAGCAGCATTCCTTTCATTCACTTTTTCAAAATACTCCAATAATTTTGAAAAATCTATCGATATTGTCCGTTAGTTGTATTTTGCTGTGATGCTGTTGATCAGATCTGGAATTAGTAGTGAATTTTTGTTTCCTGATATCGATGACCGCTTGTGACAGCTGTTGCTGCATATTGTCAAATGCAAATGTTTGGTCGTTCTTTGAACGTTCTTCAACGCGGTGTTATTGTTTCTTTAAAATCCAAGGCGAAATAACTTCCCGATCTGCGCTCAATCTACATGGATCGTTTATAAATGAGACTAGATATTGTGTTTGTTTGTACATTTAGCTTTAACTAGTACGCCGTGACTACCTATCTCTCTTTTCCTATACCTATGTGTGAAGCAATCGTATTTTCCCTTCAAGCACGAATGATTATCCGCCCATGTAAACATATTTTTAATTTGCATATGTAAGTCCGATTCCATCCGGATACTTTAATTTTATGCTTCAACATACATGCACACGTTCAACGTAGTGTGATAACAATCCTTCCGTTTTGTCCCCGTCGCGTTGTTGCTGAACGTAAGCTACAAATGCTTTTATAATAAGCTTACAACGTGGAAACAGCGAATGAATTAAAGAATAACTAGAATTATTACTGCAACACGGCAGCTCAGTGGAGCGAAAAAAATATTCAAATAATAGTCTTTTTCGTTTCACACGTCGTACACACGTTTTATTACTTGATATACGTATGTGTATTGTCTTTGCCTCGACAAGCTTAACTTTCTATTCCAGTGATAAGTGAAGCTGTAATAATTTCTAACATTGTTCGATATCATGTGGGGTGTCATACATCATAAATGACATCTTTGGTGAAACTTGACTAAGGTGTATAAATGCTTACTGAGAGTCGTAAGATCATAGTAATATAGGAAAAGAATCAGATGCTAGGTATACTGATTTATGGATATCCTGAGAAAAATACTGCGATAAAATGGTTTGCCGCGAACTACCCAAACCTACAAGGCATCGCTTGCAGCCCATGCGTTAGGCTGCGGTCAGAGTGGCATCGTTTTTGGTAGAATAATTTTTCGGCCGTGTACGCCCGAATTTTTCGCACATCGGACGAAATCAAAATAATTTGTTTTTTTCGGAAGCTTCGGTGTATTTTGATGCAAATAATTTCATAAAAATGGTTGACTGTGAAATTTTAACTAGCCTAGTTTTTGCAAAAAAGGGTTTGTGGGATATAAGAAATAAAAACTACCACAATAGAGATATAACTTGCAAACTGTGGAATCAAATTGCCTCAGAAATGCAAACTACAAGTAAGTATTCGATATGAACAGTTTGAAATAAAAAATAGTGTACAAGAACATTATTAATCATTAATACGGCACATGTGTCGCGTATTTCATATGCTCCTCTTGTAGCAGGGTTGATCCTCTGTTTTCATTGATTCCTCTCTAAAAGAAGTGCTCACTTTTGAAAATGTTGCTTCTGGTATTCCTTCCTTGTCAATTACAATATTGTGCAATAAGCAAACGAATTTTACTATCACATCTACGTGATCTGGGTGAAGTTGTAATTTTGTTTTAAGGCTTCTCCATTTGCTGACTGAAGTTCCAAAAGCACATTCTACAGTACGTCTAGCTCTGCTAAGTAGATAATTAAAGATTTCCTGTTCGGGATTAATGCCGTCATGAGAAGGGCATGGTCGCATTATATATGTTTTTAGAGGATAACCTTGATCACCTAGTAACACACAAGGTGCTGTAAGGTTAGTATGCGGCAGTTCCTTGCGGTAAATTGAATGAATTGGTTTCCAAACGGTGATACACATTGGTCTCAGAAAATAATCCACTATCACTTTGACTTCCACAACATCCTACACCTATCGCAATAAACTTATAATGAGCATCAGCAATCCCTTGAAGATGAATGGAAAGTATTTTTTGTAGTTATAAATCTGTGATCCGGATTTTGTGGACACTTTATTCTTATGTGCTCGCCATCAATAGTACCAACACAGTGTAGAAAATTCCAGAAATGTTCCAAGTCGTTTTTAATTTTATAAAAATTATCCATTGTTGGCACTGGCATATGGTTTAAATAAAACACACTCCATATAACTTCTTATGTGTCATAATTCGCTATGGTATTATGCGCCATTCTAAACGAAAATACTATTGATCGGAAGGCAATCCCCGTCGACAGAATCCTAAAAAAAGATATATTAAATACTTCGTTTTTTTATAACTAAATATTTACCATTTTTTGTAATTAGTATGCTCTTAATTTCAGAGTGCTTTGACTAACAAAAATGACAGATTTCTTAAAACTTTCAACGAGCGAACGAACTAACTTATGTTACTTTTAGGTGAGGCCGTCAAAAATGTGTGGCAAAATCTTCGAGATACCTATCGCAGGGAATATATGATAACTTCCTGTTTCTGAGCTATGATCGTTCATAAATAATACTCTAGCACCAAGGAGAGTCGTGAGTAACGTTTCTCAAACACAAACAAAGGTATACTCTAAATCTTCAACACCACGAGATGAAATTTTCAATTCTGAATCCGATTCAAATATAGAATATGAGGACGTTTCCCAGTAGAATCTGATAGAACATCACGTTCTCATACAACAACAAAACATGTTGGGACTGCATCTAATACTACAGAAAAGGAGATATGTGCCACATCATTTGAAACGCCGAATAACTTCCAAAAAGAAAAGATGACTTCAGAAAGATTCAATAGATCAACTAACTGAAATTGAGAGGGAAAAAATTGCCCACTTGGAAGGAATCGCTTCCCAGCAGAGCACAAACATTCAAAAAGACGAGGACTATTTTTTTTCTAATGAATTTGCTACCGCATTTATGCCTCACTCCAGAAAATCGCAAGCTACAACAAACTCGTACTAAAATGCAGCAATTGGTAATAGAAGAACAAGAAGTATGCAGTCGGAGATCAGTCGGCCTGTCTACTTGCCTTCCTCCAACTCCATCACCTGCAAGAAGATGGACACAAGAAGCCAATAGTCACGATTCACTTTTAGTACCAAAAGCATCCACACAAGATCATCAAACTTACCAAGAACTACACACAATGGGAACTAATAATTAATATACCTTTTCTTCTTAAATGAATTTGTACGCTTCCTTCAAGATAAATAAATACTATTTAGTTTCCATTTTTATCATGTACATGTTCCTGTAGTCTTGCCGCAAATACAATTGTAATCTACTTTGTAGTAAAGATGTGATTTAAAATGGACGAAGAGATCTTCTAGAAAATTCGTACCGCCATTCAACACGTTAACTGTCCAAACATATTCTCTGGATTCCAGCAACACATCCATTATGCCAGACACATATTTTTTAATATACCATTATAGCATGTTTCCAACTATGTCTTATAGACAAAATCTCATCACTCCATCTTCCATGATCACATATGACTCATGAACGTATAAGTTGGAATAATATACATATGTTTTACGTCCATGAATCATATGTGAACATAAGTCCGATCATACCCGAGCAAGTGATTCCTTGTAGAGGAAGGTTAAAATTTATGTAATGCAACCCCTCAAAATGTAGCAAATATGGTGTAAAGGTCTATCTTATGCACCACAAAGAGATTTACGTATTCCTTTTCTATTTATTATGGAGGTAATCTCAAAATTCCCATGTTGATGAGCCTGAAGGCTTATTGAATGAAGGACGGCAGATCATAACTCATAATTTTTACACCAGTATTCCTTTAGCTAAATATTTGCTTGATCGTTCCACAAATCTTTGTGGGAGTACGGAAAAATTGAAAGGGACTTCCATAAGTAGTTGTTAAGACCAATTTAAAAAAAGGAGACACAATCTCCAGACAACGAGACCACATCACAATTTTGAAGTGACACGATATGCGTGATGTTTGCATTTTGCGAACTTGCCATGAGAATGATATTGCACATATAGGGAGAAAAAGTAAAGAAAGGGCTGCTGTAACTAAACCGAAAGCGATTTAATATTACAACTCAGGAAAGCAGAAAATTGATGTATCGGATCAGCTAAGTCGCTACTACTCACCAGTCCGTGAGTCCGTGATTTGGTACAAAAAGGTGGCAATAGAGTTAATATTTGGCACCGTTGTAATTAATGCTTGATTATTATACGACAAAATATCTACGGAAAAAAGGCTCTATTGCTTTTTACAGAAGAAATAGTTGAAGAACTTCTTGAAGTAGCTAAAAGAACAACCCAGATTGAACCATCCACTTCTGTTGAAATGTCAAAAATACCAAGAAAGGATGACGGTCAAATTATAAGAAAAAGGTGCCATGAATGCTAGAGGAAAAACCAACACGAAAATGAATCCCAGTAGATACTTATTCAAAAATAAAAACCAGAACACTAACCATTTTTATGTTGTATTTTCGGAATTATATTCGTTTTTTTCTAAAACCTTTAATAAAGTCGTTTTTAATAAATAAAAGACTTTTTTGAATTATTTTTACGAACATAAAAAATACGTCTTCGAATCATATATGATGCATGCTGGAAAAAAATTAAAGTTAAATATCTTCTTAATATACTAGGTGACATATAAATCCGAACACCCAGTTTAAATGGTTTTATTTTAATAAAAGTTGGTGAATGTATTTATCTTACTGTAAATAACAAGTGAAAAAATTTTCAGCCTTATCAGTTGGACATTCCGGTTCTTATACTGTTTTTTTTTAATTCACTAACGCTCTAAAAATGAATATTTCAGCCGCAGTAAAGAATCAACGTTGGCGGATTTTGGTTCTTGACATCCTTTACGATCGGTTACGATGCCTAGAGTACGGAGACCTGTACGATTTCGTCAACTTAGTGAGTTTGATAGGGGCCGTATAGTGGGACTTCGGGAAGCTGGACCTTCTTTTCGGGCAGTTGCAGTTAGAGTGCAAAGAAGTGTAGACACTGTGGTTAGGTGTTGTCAGGCATGGCTTCGAGAAGGCCGTACGCAAAGAGCAAGGGGCACTGGACGCCGCCGTAGAACAACAGACCGTGAAGATCGCCGCCTAAGATTATTGGCCTTAAGGGACCGTTTCTCCACTACCAGGTCCATTGCAAATGAATGGTTTGCAGAACACGGAAGACCTATTGGCATGCGAAGTGTTTACCGACGAATGAGAAGTTTTGGCTTGTTTTCATACCGGCCACACTGGGTCCTCCCTTTAACTCGATAACACCGACGTAATCGCCTTGAGTGGTGCAGACAACGGTCACTCTGGGATCAGGAATGGAACAGTATTGTCTTTAGTGACGAGTCTCGATTTTAATAGGCATGCACGATGGTCGTGCCAGGGTTAGAAGGCGACGTGGTGAAAGGAGGAATCCACAGTTTGTTGTTGAAAGACATGCTCATCACACTGTTGGAGTTATGGTTTGGGGTGCTATAGCTTATGGTTCCAGGTCGCCTTTAATCTTCATCAGAGGTAACATGAACGCGCAGCGTTATATCCACGAAGTTCTAGAACCCCATCTTTTACCCTATCTTGACACCCTGGCAGATCCAACTTTCCAACAAGATAATGCCCGACTACATGTTGCCAGAGTCACAATAGACTTCTTTCAACATAATGATGTCACATTGTTACCATGGCCACCAAGATCTCCCGACTTATCCCCAATTGAGCACGTGTGGGATATGAAGGGTAGAAGATTGCTCAATTTGCAACGTCTTCCTCAGACTCTAGAAGCACTTCGAGAGGAGTTGGTGGTTGCCTGGAATGAGATACCACAGGAGGACATTGACCACCTCATCAGAAGCATGCCTAGGCGCGTTGGAGAATGCGTAGCACATCAGGGTGCATCCACACATTATTAAAGGTCAAAGGGCTTTAAAGCAGTGCAATCATTTTGAAATTTTTATCATTTACTTATTATGCTTCATTAAGTACTTATACAAAATTTTATTAAAATAAAACCATTTAAACTGAGTGTTCGGATTTATATGTCACTTAGTATACTTCCATGCTATCATCAGCTGCTTAAATATCACGTCCAATTTTTAACATATGATAAGGCACAGCAAGTACAATGCATCACATATGATTCAAGGGCGTGTAGACAAATGTGTCTAATGAATCACATATGATCCATGGCCAACAACGTTGATCGCGACGTCGTCTTGTGTGGGTGTTACTTATGCACAGAGAACAACTTACTGAATTTCAATACCTTTTGAGGATTTAAAATTACAACCCATCAAGTTCTTCGAATCTTTTAGGATGTGTTACAATACATTTCAGTATATTGGTGTCTTAAGTTGTTCCATTTTTTTTACCTTTGCTATCGCTATATCGATTTACATACATCTTCAGCCCATAGCCGTTTTCCAACATCTCGATTATTGTAACTTTGAGTTTTTGTCCCACAGCGGCGGTCTATTATAGACATAACCAATTAATGTTTCAATATCCATTGAACGGCCGATGACGGTTGTGGTGGTCTCTTCATTTTACACAAGTTCGATTTTATCGGCGGATAACGGCCAAGCATAGTTCAAATACCAGTGCCGCGACCCTTTGATACCGCTCGCCATTGAAGTGAAGTTCTCGAAGGTGTGATCATGTCGCGCTTTTTGATAAGTGATTCAGAAATATCAGTTTCAGAATGACAGCTTGTAAAATATTTTCCATCACTAACTTTGACATAACCATGACGGAAAAACCCAAAGATAAATTTGGCACTTTTCTCCTTCGTACCGCCTGGAGTTTTTGAAATATTTTCAATAATTAGGTAGATTGTTTGCATCCATTGTTCAATGATGGTACACTCTATTGTTTCTTAAAAAAACGTGTATATTTATTGGTAATGCTCCATTTTTTTGGCCTGAAATACTGTCTACTGACGACGTCACCACGGTGGCCATTTTCAACTACAAATTAGAATTCTGATAATATATTTCGTTTATCTGTCTGCTATGTGGCAGTTCGTTTGTTTTTTCCTTCATCTTCACTGTGTTACAACAGGCGAAACGGTTCTGGAACCTGCTGAGATTGCGCAAAATCGTGATTGCAAAGCCCAGTGCCGGCTGCGCCTGGGGTAGGCATTCCCACTCCCAAACGGACGTCCAGCCTTCCAGCATGATGCTATCTGCTGTTTTTTCAATGTACTAGATACGACACCCTCGTCTATCAGTCCGAAAACGCCAAAAGTCTCCCGAAAACACTTAAACCCATCAAGAACTGTTGTCAATTGTTATGCAATCTTCGACTACAAATCCTGCATGTGCATTGTTTATGGATCTGAAATGCCAGAAATAGTACTTTGACAACTGAAGGAAACCACGTAATTTTTTTTGTAAGGGAATAATATAAGACACAAAAGCAGTAAACAATTCTAAAAATGTCACCGTGTCGCCGAAACATCATCAGTAGGATTATCAGGTATGCAAACCACATGATAAGTTATATATTCATTGGTTCCTCTAGGAGGTGGGGCTGTCGCCGCATGGCGCGCACAAATCGGAATTTAAGACGTGCAGCCGTAAATTATTCAACTGGCGTGCTTAAAGCTTATTGGCATTTTAACTCTCCTGATTGGAGCATAGTATTAATGAAATCAGAAGCTTCCCAATAATACAACGTCTTTCACAGATGCCAAAGATGCAATATTTACAACTTTTCACAATACCCGCTTAAATCTTTCTGAAAATGGTCAAGACCTTCTGAAATGTCTAGAAGCGATTTTTACTTCTTTGTTTTTTGCCTAAAGCTATGCCACCACTGAATTAATTTTCCAAAAACTACAAAGCTATTTCGAGCTTGGCATGGTGGTAAGCCTTTGTCAAAATTTCATTAGTATTTGACCAGAGGGGTTATTACGAAAAACAAAACGTATATAATGACAAAAAACTAACACAATGTCAACTTGTTGACTAAGTACGAGCCCCTTTCCACTTCAGTTGGCCCAACTATTGAAATCTTAGTTTTTTTTCTTATCAAACACAAATAATAAAAATGTAGCAGGGTGTTATAGATTTAAAATATTAAGAACGAATATTTTGATATATAGTAGAAAACACCAACTTTATCACTCCCTAATCAAATTTGCAGCATAAAAATAACACATGTTGCA